GTGAATGTAATTTTCAACAGAGGAACTGAGTTTTGGTTATATTTGCTTTATCTATAGGGATCTTTCATATTTTATAGGAGGTGTAGGTGCAGGTAAAGAGGAGGAAAGAGGAGGGCAGGTATTGGTGTGCTCACTGAGGAGCTGATTTACAGAAATGGGGCTCCCCTGGGCCTGACTTGCAACCCACACACTTTGCCTTTTATTTATTTATCTGGCTACTTAACGCTTCTTACTGTTTCTCTTAAATGAATTAATTTACCCTACAAAGCACTCCTTGCAATAATCAATGACTCATTACACTGAAAACCCGCAGGAAATACTAATTAAATGAAAAATGTGCAAGAGGAATGTTCAACCTCTGTATTTCTAGCCAGCCAGATATTTAGTGCTTTCTTTTTCCCAAGTTCTCCTAAGTTTCAGGGGAGGTTTTTACCTTGAGCCCCAGGGAGGTGGGATGGCTTAGAGTGTGGGGATATTTCCCAGACATGCCAAATCCAGTTCATTCCTCATCAATATCCACAGGAATAAATAATCTGTTTATACACCACCTTTCTCTGAGCTCTGCAAGGTTCTTGTTATGAATTCCTTCCAGCTGCTTTTCTCATTCCCACAGCAGAATTGCGTGGGAAGGGTTACCCCTTGTCCATCAGTTACTCTAACAATTATTGACTGATAACCACTGGTAATTCCAACCCTCCCCCAAGCTTTGATAAGGATTTTCTGTAGTTATTATGCTCTAAAATGTCTCCTCACCCAGAAAGGTCTTGAACTTCAGGTTGAGCAGGTGACACAGCCACCTTTTTGGGGTGCTTGAATAGACAGAGGTTAATAATATGGAACCTGGAGGTTTTATAGCTGAAATGCTGAAACTGAGAGTGGGTTTGAAACTCCTGCTTTTTGAACCATGGGAGGGATTGTGTTCCATTACCTTCAGCAATGGTGGGCAGAAATGGAGGTTTCTTTTATGCTGCTCAATGATTTTTGGAGAAAGTGTGTTAAGTAAAGCCATAAAATAAAGGGATTAGAACAAGATAAAGAAAAAGAATAACTAAGAAACCACCACCACTAACAAAAAAACCCAAAAACCAATAAAGACAAAAAAAGCTGTGGCAAAGCTCCTCTCCTTGACATCCTTTGCATTCCTGGTTTTGTGCACGTTGGTTTTCTGTTCTGGTTGGTTCTCCCCAAATCACTTTTCGCCTTTGCATGTGTTGTAGATTTATATTTTCTTTAAAATCAGTCTGTACCTGAATTCAGGAATATTTTCACCCCAGAAGAGCAAATGAGCTGCTCCCATTTTGGTTTAGCAGGGGATCAAACACCAGCCTGGGACACTTCCCATCCTGGGCAGGCTCAGGCCACACACACCAGCAATAACTACTTCATATTAAAGAAATATGGGAAAAGTGGGAGAATAAGGAAGAGAAGGATGAATTATTTATTCAGTTTTAAGGCAGCAAGAATTTCAGTCAGTTTAGCTCCTCATGATAATTAATCTACCCAAAGAGCTGTTAAGTGTAACAACATCGAGGATGAATTCCTTAAAGTGTAGTTGACCCACAGAAATATGGATGAACCCGTGACACTGCCTTTAGTTTTTCTTTTCAGTGATAAATTGCATTAAAATGGTGGCAATGCATTGAAGATTTTTGTAATACTTTGTGCTCAAGTTCAAGGAGGTGTTGTTTCTGTAGATGTTGGACTGTGTTGTAAGACAGGGAAGGCAGAACTGGAAGGGTAAGTTAGGGGGGGAGATATATTTCAATCCCAAATGGATGAAACTTGAGATAGAAATACATGTTTTAACCCCTAACTATGGGGTTTTAGGGAGAAAAAATTGGTATTAGTAGTGTACTGAGTCTACTTGTTCTGCAAATCAAAAGCTGGATGTTTTCCTTGCTCCTTTGTAATTTTATTGAAGGAAAATTATAGAAATCTTTGGCTTTTACTCGTCCAATCCTTTCAGTGCTTCAAGGCATTGATACAGGTTACCCAGCTGGCTTTTTGTCTATCTGTCTCCCTCACCAGCCCTTGGAATTCAGTGAGACTGATGGATTATAGCACTTTGGAAATCAAGCCCTATAGTCTGATGTCTACAAAACATAAAAGAGGTTGGAGTGTGTATATTTTGCCCTCAATCTACAATATATTCCTTGAAGACAAAAGGAAAAAAATCACATAAAATTGTCTCTTTATTTGGAGGTACTTTAACATCAGAGGGGATTTGCTTCCAGCAAAGAAAACATTTGTTCCAGAACTACAAATGTTTGATATGCTGCAGTATCAGATAAACTTTGTTAGTGCACAGTGGCACAGAGCTGATAATTGAAGAACTCTCAGGATTTTGGGCAGTAAAATATCCCCAGTGAGTGCTGAGCTCAGTGGGAAAATGGGATGTATAAATCTGCAGTGAGAGGAGAGGAACAGGAGGAGAGAGTTCTGCACTCAATTTTGGGAACTCCAAACCACCAGTGAAGGATGTTAAAGAGAAACAAAAGTGAGGAGGTGATATCTTTGGGCATAAAAGTTATTTTTCAAAGAATTTTCTTGTTAAATATAATGTTGGACAAGAGCCCATGGAAATTCTCAAGTCACTGGAGACTCCTGCTGTCGCTTGGCATGGGGGGAGATGATCTGATCTAGTGGAGGAATCAGCCTCTAGCCCTGCATAGTCCCAAAGTATCTCCTGCAACACAGTGTTGGGCATTTCATTCAGTAGAAATGGTCACTGGAGGCACCAAAAAAGATGGAGAAAGGTCCAGGTAAGAAACCCATGGCCAAAACTAATGGATAACTTGGTGTCGTGCGGTGGGACGTGGAACAGGAACCTGTGAAGAAGCACTGATGCCTGAGATGAAGGTTTATCACATGCAGAGTCAGCCAGCTCTGGGTGATTTCAGAAGTAATTATGAACCTGGGAAGAGCAGGACAGGGAACAGCAAAGCCACCGGAGGAATTTGACAACAAACTCCAGAGAGCAACCGCGGTGCCATGAAGGGGGAGACGCTCGGGCACCTGTTGTGACAGCTGTGCCTCAGCATCCAATGACCAGATCAGGGTGGATAACGAGACAATCTGCTCATTTAAGAGTGTATATACAAACCCAGCAGGGACATGAAACTGTTTTGCTTTGTTTTACTGATAATGTGTTATTGGAGTCATGTCTCTGACTGTGTGCTAGAGTGGGTTCAAAACAATTACTTATGTAACACAGGATATATTTAAGTCAGAGAAATGTGTGTATCTCAATTTCTGGTTAAGAAGCGAAATGAAATTATGTTTTTCTGAATAGATTTATTGATTTCCGTTTTTCCAGCACAGGGATATCCATCTCAAGGGCTGGATGCCCCTTGCAAAACTTCAGCTGTGGAGTAATCAATGGATGAGACTAAGATGCATCTCTTGCCTGCTGCTGGTTCATACTTTAATAACTGCATTATTCTAAGAGTAAACTCCTTGAAAGTAAGCTCAATCAGTGCATTCTCCAAAAGTTGGAGCCCATCTCTGGGTGACTCTATCTGGTCCAGGGTGGCCAGAAAATATCTGGTGCAGCCCCTGCAGTGTCCTCTTGTAGTGCTCTGCTTCACAAGTGGTCGGGCATCTTCTGGAGCAATTTTGGCATTGATTTTGAGGTGGCAAAGGCACAGTTTCAGCAAAGTTTCATCCATATGTGCAAGAAAATTGTATTTGCTGCTCACTTACAGAGCAGAGTGACAACGTCAGGGAAACAAAAGAAAAAATAAAACTCACAGAGCAGTTCTTTGGGCACCAGGAATTAGCAGAGCCCGGAGACACTGCCCACACTGCAAACCTGGCTCACAAATAATGGCGTTGCATGCAAGGGTGACCACTGCTGCTTTGATTTTGAGTGACAACCGTGTTGAGAAACTCTGAATACAAAGACAAGACTAATGGAATGTAAATACCTGGTGGGTGCAGCCAACCAGCACAAAATGTATGTAGAGGGAGCTGGAGTGTCCCTGCTGGAGTGACTGTGCTTCCAGATCATCGTGTGCAAGGAATAATTACAGCAGGGTTTGTCAGCTGAGCTGGTGGAGGGGGGAATTCTTTATCTATTAATCAATGCAGGGAAGGATGAAGCACCTATAAACCATTCATCTCACTTTAGCTTCTTGTTTATAGTTAATTAGAGTTGTTCTGATTTTGATTGGGAAAAATGGGGGTACCTTGGAATATAGAACTGTCGGATGGAGCACCTTGGAGAGCATTTCCTGCTGTGAGATCCTTGGGGCAATGGGTCCAGTGGGTTGGACTTTTATCTCCAAGATGAGCATCTATGAATTGCTCACAGGGTAGGAGCCCTAAATCACAGGGAAATAAGAGATGGTCACAGTGCCAGCACCTCGCCAGTGGGAAGGAAGTTTTTAGAAGTGGGAATTAGGTAATTTCTTTCATCCCTCTTGCCTTGATTTTCCCATTCCTTTATTATTATATATATGCACAAGGAGGATATTTAACAAAAAACTTCATTTCTCCCCTTTTTTTCATAAATCACAGTCAAAACAGAGTGAGACCAATGCACTTCTTACCATTATTTTTTAATCCCTTGTGAAATTGTTTACCTTTTCTTCCCATAATTTCCATGGGGATTATAGATAAGGCTGCAGCACCTACACATAGTTAAGGGATGTTTTATAACTCACATGTACTGTGTGGTGCAGAGAGATGCCAACTGCAAGCATAGAAAACCCCAGTGTGTCACTTGCTTTTCATTTCATTTTAATCTGACTTTAAATCAGTGATATTTTCTCCTTTTTTTTGGTAAGAGAGTTCTTTAAAATGCTTTTATAAATCGAGAAGTTATTGCTAAACCTTGGAGTCCCACCTACCAGCCTCGAAAACTGCAGCTTCACTAAAAACCACGCAGTAAATGTGACATTCCTTGATGCATGCTTATTATTATGGTAAATATTTCTCTAGGTAGTGCCTGGTAATGTTAATTAATTTCAGATCCACCCTTTTTTTGTCCACGTATGCAGATTTCAAATCTGTGCCTCCACCAGTGTTGACACGGTGCAATGATGCAGCCGAGCTCTCAGATGTCTGGCTCGAAGAGTTGTGAAATGATCAAGCAGACAAACCCAACCATTTCAGCCTTGTCAATCTAGTTCTCAGTGGACAGATGCCCTGGTGCTGGAAAAGCAGCATGCCCTGCAACACCTCTTGGCAGTGTGGAAAAAGAGCCAGAGATGTCCCAGACACGAAGTACGACCGGATTCTCAGCTCAAAAAATCAGGTTTGTGGCCCCACTGGAGCTCCTGGGTGAGGCTGTGTGGGGACACGTGTGGGGACACGTGTGGGACCTCTGGTTTGGGCATGGGGGAGGGATTTCTGGTCTCTCAGATTGTCCATCTGATCTGCTTCTGAAGCAGGTTGTCTTGGATTAATGGGTGATGATCCGGATTTGTGCATTGAGGGCTCTGGAGTGCGCCTGGTTCGTTGCTGGAGTTTGTGGATTGCATAATTAATTAATTAAATGGTATAATTTAAATATTTTATTGGGTGCTTATCCAGCAGGCATTGACTAAACTGTCTGAGGAAACAGGAGGTTTTGGGTTTCTGTTGGCACACCAGCAGGGACAGCCCTGTCCTGACTGTCTGTGGTCATGTCCCCCTGAAGGCCATCACTGGAAGTCCCATCCCAGGTGTCCTCTCGGGCACAGCAGGGGAGGGGATGAGGCTTCAGTCTGCTCTGTCCACGCAGCCCCTGGGCATGTCTTGGTAGGCACAGTTCCAACAAAGCCCAGCCTGGAGCAGCTGAACCCACCCCGGTGCACAAAACCTGGAAATCTTGCAAGGTGGGTTTAAAACCCTGCAGAACCCACTGAATTCATGGTACAGAAATCTGGCAGTGACTGGGATGGGCAGGGAACTGTTCTGGTACAGAGGAGGTTTTCTTTTTGGCTAACGAGTTGTTTTTAATGTCACACGTGGCATCACAAGATCTTGCAGCATTGGGGCATTTTTAATGAATTCCTATCACTTGCATATTAGCAGGAATATTTCCACTGCAGCAAACCCCATAAACAGTTCCCACACTGGGCTGTGTTATACTGCCACCAGAATTGGTTCTTCTGATGGTTCATTTCTTTTATGCTGAGAATTCAGGACCAATTCAGCTTGGTTTTATGCATCATTAGAGATTTACAATTACTTTGCTATAGTTTCTTTCTGGAAGCCTATCTCTCATGGTTAATGCTATGGGAGTCCTGTTGTGTAGAGACTGGTATGAGCCACCTTATAGCAATAAAGCGTTTGAGAAGGATTTAGAATTATGAGGGGCTAAATTCTCCGTGCACAGACTGTAATGCTGTTATCCCTTGCTGAGCTTGGGTTGAAACCTTTTTTTTTTTTCTCTCCCCAAATTAGGAAAAAAAAAAAAAAGTGCTCTTTCTTCAAGAGGTTTTGAATCATTTACATGTAATTTTTTTTGTGGCGCCGCTGCAGTCGGAAATGAGGAATTGTGTGAAATTCCATTTGGATTTCATGATGCTTAAAATACATTTAGGTTGTATTAGTATCTAACGAAAAAAAGGCCTCCTCATTTTTTTTAGATCTCGCTTTTAAAAAGTCTGATCATTATTTGGGACTTTATTTTGGATTTTTTTAATATTTTGTGGGGGTTGTTAAAGGCAATAACTTCACAAGCTTTGCCCTTGCACAATAAGCAGGGGCTCTGTATGTGTTATAATCCGCATAATTCACATTTTACATAAATACAGTGTTGCACTGAAACAAACATGATATGCAGTGAATAATATGGGCCTGATCTAAAGGCCATTAAAATCAATGAAAAGATTTCAAATTAACTTTTATAGCCTTTAGATCAGGCTCTAAATGGGCAAATTACAGTTATGGAGTTTCCCATTTACATACCTGTGTGCTGCATTTAATGTATTTTATGGAATTGAAATTACTTGGTCCTCTTTTTCATGCTTTTTTAGGCTAAGAATTTGCCAAGGGCATCAACAGCAGTTTTCCCAGGCTTCAGCACAAGGATTATATAGTCAATCCACAAATGACTCCAATCTTTGAAGAAAAGGACATGGTTATCAGAGAGGCTTTGACGACAGCAAGGACCGGAGCACAATCTGCCTTTTTCCATCAGAGATTCCCATTCCCTCTCATTAACATACTCAGGACATCAGCACAGCCATCAGTCCCAGGGGAATCACCTCACACTTCTCAGGGAATATGCACAGGACCTGGCCCTGTGTTATTTCAAACAGATCAAACCAGATGTGCCTTGTGAAAGGTTTGGAGAAAGGCTGGGGCCCAGCAGCATCAGGGGAGGGATTCACAGGTTGCAGGGAGTTTTCAAATCCATTGTTACATCTTGGTAATCTTTCTTATTTCCCAGGGTTTTTCAGTCCCACTGAGGATGCAGAGCTGCTCTGTGATATCTGCTGCTGCTGTAAGTGTGAAAGGTGGTGCCTCTACCTGCTCCTTCCCAGCGCCCTGTGATGAAAAATGCCTTTGGAGGAACACTGGAAACAAGCCATCAAAATATCTGATTAAACCTCTTAGGAAACTCTCACTAATCACCTTCTCTGCTCTTGATGGAGTGTATTTATGCATTATAAATATACTTACTATGTGTGTGTGCTCCATAAATCACATCCAGCACTTGTATATGATGTATAAGCACATTCTATAGAACACACGCAAATACAGATGCCAAACTCCCACAGAGTTCATCACTGGAAAAATGTTTGAAGGATCTGATCCTTAATATTTAATGAGCAAGATGCTATTTCCTTCCTCAGCTTTTATCTCTGGTTTGGCATAGTCATTAAACTCGTTGTTTCCTTGCAGGATTATATAATTTATGACCTAATTTTAGACTTTTGCGTAACCGCGTTGAAACGCTCGTGGCGGATCCGGATTTCTCTGCACGGAGCGTTCCAGCATCAGACACCAGCTCAAACATGACTCCTGTGAGCTGCCCATCAGCAAGGAGTTAGAGGCATTAAAGGCAAACAGCCCAACAATATTCAGACAGCATTACAGGATTAGACGGTGGGGTTTTTTTCCCTGTAAAAATCTGATTTAGCAGCACTTCCCAAGCCGTGCGCAGCGGCCGCCAGGAATCCCCAGGTACCGCAGTCAGCACCCAGCAACTCCAATTACTGACTTTCAGACCCCTCTGGGATAAATTCATTGTAGGGAGGGCTGGAGGAGGTGGGGAAGCAGGTGAAGAACGACTTTAAAGCCACTGCCAGCCCCTCGCCCTCTGGAATTTCCCCTCAGCACCAGCCTGGCTGCTGGGCTGATTTTTTGCTGCACAAGGTGTTGCCAGATAACCCCTAAATGAATTATTCTGAAGCTGTAGCCACATTTTTTTGTGTGTCTTCTGTGTGTCCAGGGTAATTCAGTGGTGCTGTAAAGAGTACTGTGAGCTGCAGGTATTTTGTCAATTGAAACCACATTGTTTGGACCAGTCTTTCATCAAATTTAATCTATTGCCTATTGCATTAATGCATTTTGAGAGCACTTTATTCTGGTGTCCCATAGGGAAGTGGCTTGTGGTGGAGGAGGGTTTAGAAGCTTCCTTTGTGCCTGCAGTGCAGTTATGAGGAATTTTTCCTGGTTTTCTACCTTACCCTGGGATATCCAACACGGATGACAGAGCTGAGATGCTGCATCCTCAGAGCAGCACCTTGGAGCTGTAGGAACCATGTCCCTGCAGCCCAACACCTCCCTCTAACACAACAACCTAATGCACAGGGTGAGGTGGGTGCCCACATGAAAGAAAAAGCATCCTTAGGAAAAGCTGATATTATTTCTCGGATTAAGAAGGATCGGAGAGTGTCTCTGTTTGGCTTTAATGGAGCAGTTCCAGGAAAGCAGCAGCGACCAAAGTATTTTCAGTAGCACATAATTCAAGAGCAAAATCATAATTCCAATTACCATTTCAGGCACTCCTGGCCTTGGGAAACCTATGCTAATATTTATTATTATATTATTGACCTCTGATTTCTTCATCATTTACATTAGCCACTCTGATATTCTTAGTAACATCCTTTAAATCATATAAGCAGGTGTCAACAGTGCACGATGAAGTCACATCCCGCAGCTTTTTTATTTACTTAGTCCATTTTTTTCCTGGCAAAATAACAGTGTGAGTTGCATAATCTCACCTCCATGGGGCCTCTAGGGGGGTATATAATCACAGAATGCATTTTCTATAATCTCCCAATATGAGTCAATCCTATCAGAGGTACAAACAGTTGTACAAAGTCAGTGTTTCGCTCCCATCACTGCCTGACATCATCTTCCACATAACACAAGAAAATATTTACTTAGCTCTTTGACATTAATTGCCACAAAGCCTTTGAAACAAAAAAATTGTGGAAAGCGAGGAACTGAAATGGAATAATTTGATTTAATGAATTTAGCCCATTTTCTGTGTGCAGGAATTAGATTCAGATGCTTTTTTATAATGTCTGGGATGGCCAAGGACACCTCGAATCTCTGTTCTTCAGTGAGGTCCCCAGGCACAAATCAGAGTTACCCAGAAAAGCTGGAAGCTGATCCTTTTCTCCATTGTTTTCTTTGCATAAGTGACCATTTCTCTGGGGGAATCAAGACACTGCATTTATTTTCCAGGTGCAGGTGAGGTGCCAAAAGCAGCCTGAGGCTTCTCATTGCCTTCAGCAGAGTTGAGAAAATTATATTTATCCACAAAAAGACTACAATTTTTTTTTCCAGATTGTTCTTGTGATGTGTCAAAAAGTTTTAATTCTCTGTTTGTCTCCTGTACCCACTGCTCATCTTCCTACCTCGGTGCAGCTCCTGCTGTTCCCCTCCAGAGAGCACAGCCACGGGCTTTTCAGCATCTCCTCGGGAAACATCTGGAGCTGGGGAAAGTGGGACCCATCGGTGCCACCCGGAGAGGGCTGTCCTTGGTCATCTTCATCTCTCATCCATCATTTTTTTACTGAAATTGAATCCTTCTGAACTTACATTGCCTTAAAAGGTTTACCTGGCTCGGCAGGTGGCAGGGTTTCACACGGGTTTGGGATCATTTTGGCCACTTTTGGAAGGTTTGTGAGCCCTGCACAGGTTGTCAGGCAGGTGGGCCCTGCTCTGCTCTCTGGGCACGGAGCCCTAAAAAACCCCTCTTGATTTCCACAGGTCAGGAGAGGGAAAAGGGTCAGAACAGCCCTAGATCATGTTTCTGAAGTCTGTAAGTGCAATAATCCTAATCATTAGCAGTTTCTGTAACAACACAGGTTACAGACACGGGACCAAACACCTGCAGGGAACCTCCTCAGGCGAAATTCTCCTCGGCTTCAATCACGTTTTTCCGGAGAAGAGACCTCTGGCTGCGCTCAGGGCCATCCGCCTGTTCCTGGCTGAAGAGGCTCTTCTAATCTACTGCTAAGAGACTTATTAGCAATGTAAAAAGGAACGTGAAGCAAGGAGAGTGTTCTTCCTAGCAGAAATATGTTTTGTAAAATTAGATTTGCTGACAGAAGTAATTGGGCTGACTCCTCATGACTATGGATGCTGTTTGTTGCCCTTATCTTACCAAAGCAAAGGGTACCAAATACTTCGAACTTTGTAAATAATTGTTTCCAAAGTGTTTTCTTTTTTTTTTTCTCTCTCTATAAATTCTTTAGAGAAAAGCTGGTTTGCTGGTTTCTAATCCTTTCTCTTCCAAAGCTTCTGAAGCTCAGCCCCTTCCCACTCTAGATATCTTTTATTTTCCCTCTTCGGATTTTAATATTTGTTAGATTACAAAAATCACTTTTAAGGGGAAATGCAGAGCTTTTGCTCAGATTGGAAAAGTCGTTCTTAGAGCTTTAACAAAGTGGTGAAAGAGAGAAAATTATCAAATAGAAGAACTTTATGCCAGACTCTGGCAGATGTTCTGTGGTGTGGAGATGTGTGTCCAAAGCCTGACCAGTGCCCAGAGTGGGGTCCTGTCCATTGGTCTGGCTGTTTTTTGTCCCTCCAGATTCCTGCCCAGTGAAAGGATTAGCCCTTTGCTGGTTCTTTATTCCTTCTAGGATGAATCAGAGCCAGGACTTACTCTTCCCTACCCCACCAGGGCTCGCTGTCTCCTCCGGTGCCAAACAGAGGGGCACTCTTTGCTTGCTAACAGCATTATTTCTTAGTTTTATTCCACTTTTTCACCCACAGCAACAAATATTAATGCAGAAACAGGACACAAAATGTCCCAGAGTGTGGGACAGTTTGTGTCCCGGAGTGTGTGCTATTAAAGTAAGGTCAGAGCCTGCAGGAAATCCACATTTTTTGCATAAAGCCAGGCAGACTCACGGATGTGGGAAAACTGAAATGCTGGAAAAGCAACGTGTCTTTCTCAATCATCCTTGCAAGTTGAACACGATTTTTTTTCCATTGTCTATCTGCTATCTATCTATTTCTGTACTCGTTTTGGCAAAAGACACAAATAATGAGAAATATCTGTCTGTAATGGACAGTTACCCCCTGTGGGGTCTCGCAGGTGACATGGGTGGGTGAGTTCTGGGCAGAGCTGCAAGACCAGAGAAATAAATGACAGCTGCCTGTGCTCATGTTGCCATTGGAGCATGGGTGGGGGTTAAATCCTGGTCTCCAACCTCAGGCAGCAACATAAAGCAGGGAGCAGAAAAGCCCAGGAACCCGAGGTAACTTCTGGAGTCGCAGGAGCTTCAGAGCAGATCCCAAAGGAAGGATCCTTGTTGAGCTGCCTTGTGTCAGTCTCAAACCCAGCACAAAAATCCCATGGGGTGTCTGGTCCAGGTCCAGCTGCTGTTGAGGAATGTTGATGTGTTCATGCCATGCTGCCATTCCCCAGCTGTTGTCCAATCCAACAGGGGGGAAAGGTAGTTCCTGGGAAAGGCAGCTGTGACATTTACTTCTTGAGTCTTCAAATCGTAACAAACATCTTCCTTGGTAGCAGAAGGCTCCACCAAGACTGATCTTCTCTCCTTCTCCAAAGCCAGAGGTTTCAGGTCTTGGATGCCACCAGCAGATCAGGTGCTTGGCTGATGATTTGTTCCCTGCCCCAGGTGAGCTGGGAAGGAATTTAGAATCACAGAATCATAGAATCATGAAGGTTGGAAAGGACCCTTAAGATCATTGGGTCCAACCGTCAGCCAGTGCCACCCACATGTTCACCACCAAACCATGTCCCCAGGGGTCACATCCACACAGTTTTTGAACACTTCCAGGGATGGTGATTCCACTACTGCCCTGGGCAGCCTGTACCAGGCCTTGACAACCCTTTCTGTGATGAAATTTCCCCTAATGTACAATCTAAACCTCCCCTGGTCAGCTTGAGGCCATTTTATCTCATCCTGTCACTTGTTATCTGGGAGAAGGGACCGACCCCCAGCTAAATACACCCTCCTGTCAGGGAGTTGCAGAGAGTGAGAAGGCCCCCCCCGAGCCTCCTTTTCCCCAGGCTGAGCCTCTCCAGCTCCCTCAACTGCTCCTGCTGCTCCAGCCCCTTCCCCAGCTCCGTTCCCTTCCCTGGGCACGTTCCAACCCCTCGAAGTCATCCTTGTCGTGAGGAGCCCAACACCGAACACAGGATTTGAGGCGTGGCTGGGATTTTTTTTCCCCTTAAAAAAACACCAAAAACCTAAATAAATCCATGATTTTTTTACGGAGGCACCTTCCAGCAGAGCCCAAATGGGAATGTTTGTGTTCCATACCATCCGTCAACGCCGCGGGAGCGGCTCCTCCAGCTCCTCTTTGGTGGCCAGAAGGAGCTGTCAGGGAGCCGCTCGGCCGCGGCGCCGGGCGGGGTGGGAGCCGTGCTGGCACGGATCCCTCTGCACAGGGGATTTCTGCTCTGACAATTTTTGGCTCCTTTAGGTTACTTCGGAGCTGCACGGAATTTTTAATGCTCTGCACTCTCGCAGGGGCTGACAGCGAACTTAAATACAGATTGCAAAGATAGATCATCTCCCAGCACCACTTTGTTTGCTGCTGCTCTAAAATCATTTTACTTGTTCCTGCAGCTCCTATAAAGCCAGAAGAGCTCTCTATATTTGCTTCCCGGATGCCTTTTTCTCCTCTGCTCGCGACTATAAAAGCAGCTTTTCATGCTCCAAATCAGAGATAAATTGAAATCGCTGCCGAAGAAATAAAACACAAGGCTAATCAAATTGTGGCACAGGAAACAGCCTTCAGCCAGTGCATTTTTTTGAGAGCTATTTTTAGCCTATATTTTTATTTTGTCACTCCATATGGGAAGTCAAACCCATATGGTTTGGGAGAATGGAAGGTTGTGCTTTTACAGAGATCTTGCAAACCATCCCTGCCCGGCCTTGTCCTTAAACAGGGGCTTAAATCCAATTGTCTGCCGTGGGACTGGAGCACTTAAATGCTCAGGCCCTGCCCGAGGTTGTAACAGCACGATTCCCTCCTGAGGTGTAAAACTATTCTACATTCGTTAAACCAGTCTCCAGTTAACTTGGCTCTTCTTAATTAGGGCTTTTCTCATCCGTACACCTTCCTTTTTTCCTTTTCCTTTTTAATTTCTCCATCATTCCAATGCCCTGATGGATGGGGTTGGTCCAGTCCCATCCAGGATGCAAAGCTGAGCATCCACAGCCATCACTCTTTGGAGTAGATGTTTGTGCCCTCCAAATGCCCAAATTAATGTGATTTCAGGGAATATGACTTTTTTCTGCCCACAACACCGTGGCACCTTCTGAGTATGTTGATGAATAAATACTTGGCTAGAAAATGTCCTGCCTTTCTGATAAACTAAATGTATAAAATTAGAAACATGTCCTCAGTGTTCATCCACTAGAATATCCACTTTACTTGTGTTATAGGTTGTTCATGATACTGAATCAAAAATTATGTGTTTTCTAAGGAATTTTGTGGGATGGTCGAAAACACTGACAGAAAGTTTTTAACCTGGTGAATTCCAGAGGATCATTTTATGAAATTTTTAATTGTAATCCCGGAATTTCTTCCCTCTGCAGTTTCTCAGAAGGTGGAATTAAAAACAAAAATGACATAACAAAATGCAGCTGGATGCTTTTATAGGTAAAGCAATGAGCAGAGGCTCAGAAATGTGGGTGATAGGGTTTAGTGGACATTCAGCTGAAAGTTGGATTTGATGATCTTGGAGATCTTTCCAAACTCAATGATTCTGTGATTTTATGGTGTGAATTACAGAGGCTCAGGGGAGCAAACACCTCGTGGAACTGCTCTGACTGAAGGAAAAGTCATTTTCTGTATTACTTTTGATTTCAGAGTTGTATTTAACCTCAATGTGGAAGGAGAATTGAAAAAAGAGTAGGGTTTTGGCAGGTAATATTTTTATGCCTTTTTTTTCCCCCTTAGGAAACAATTTTCTCCTTTTTGAAGGGATAAAGAGCAATGGAAGTAGGACTGTTCAGTGGAGAATTCCATGTGGCAGAAGAATGGGCAGCATGGAGATTTCTGAGATGGTTTGGACATCACTTTCATCAAGTAGAAGAAATATTATACTAAAATATTTCATCAAAACTGAGACCTCATATGGATTATATATTGGAAAATCCAGAAAACAACCACTGAGGTTTTTTCCCAGAGCAGAGATCTTGTGTTAGAGGAGACAATGTTAAAATAACCAAGCCCCAGAAGGGACTAAAAGGAAAAACCTGAGATTAGAGCAGAGAGAAATTATCAGAATCTGTAAAAGTGATTTGATGAAGCCTTGTTTGTGTTCAAAATCTGTGCTTGTTTTGAAATCCAAAGAACTACTGTTAGTTACATTATTTTCTCAAAGGAACTTTATAGCCAGGAAACACCCAACACTTGTATCCCACTTTTAAAAAAACACTTTATACCATTCTGAAATCCCAAAAGACAGTGAAAACCCTTGGATTTGTGATGCTTGGGATTATTGGAATTAATACAAGTAGTTGGGCTTTCCCCAGGATGTTATTCTGGAATATTTGAATAATAGAACTTCTGGCCCAGGTGTTTGGGGGGTGTGTTATATGGGCACATATAACTCACAGGAGCACTGCAAGGTGGACTTGTGATGTCACCGTGATTCCTGGACATCCTTTGGCACCCAAGTGACTTTAGAAGGGCTGGAATTTCATCCCAGGCCAGGAGCAGCTGATGGAGGTGAGGTGGAGCAGCTTCAAGTCAGTGATGTAGAACTGAAAAAATTGTTTGTCATATAACTGATCTCATCAGCAGCCCAGGGCACCCAAATGTCACTTTGGATTTTCTCCTGAGTTTCCATTTACATCATTAATATATAGATAATATGTTAAGGTATTATCTTCAAAAAAAAGGAAAGAAATAATTTCTTTATGATATGGGCAATTTGTAGAAGACGTTCGTGTCATTTTGCATTCTAAATGTGATTTATATTTATAAATAAATTTGCATCAAACCTCCAGCTCGCGATGTCATAGTTCTATTTTATCTTTATTTCAGATGCTCAAGAAATGTAAATTATTTTTACAGCTACATAAAAGCTATCCAAAGCTGCCAGGAATAATGAGATACACATTGTGCCATGCAGCCATGAGAAATCCAGCAGTACCATGGTTACAGCCAAACTAGGAAGCCATGAGAAACCAGGGAATATCAGCACATATAGATTCCTCTGGGTCCATTTTGCAAACCAGTCTTGACTGGGAAAATTCATATGAGAGAAAATATTTACCTGAAGGATAAACAGGCCCTTAAAATGAGGAGGAACAGTTCATTTCTATGGCAGGGGTATATTGTATTTATTATATTGTTTATGGAACATCAGCCACAGTTGGGCCAGGCTCTGCATAAAAATAAAGATATCAGCATTCCTGGAACACAGAAGTGAGGTTTGCAAATGTTTGGTGGGTTTGCTGATGATGTTTGGGCTTACAAAATATGGCTTGGCCATGAGGGTGGCACCAGAGAAGGGACATTGATGTCCCCTCAGTCACTGTGGTAAAAGGTTCCAGTGCCATGGCTTGGGGCTGAATTATAGATTACAAAATGGGTTCCCCTCATTAGCAATGAACTCAAACAGGTGGAGATAATTAGGGCAAATGAGGGTGTGAAAAACCTCAGCTGATGGTAGTCAAAGCAAGGCAAATAAAAGGTGCAGTGAGGCAACAGGTTCCTTTCCCCATGAGGAGCTTTAAGGAACAAGTTGCCTGGATTTTGAAGAGGGTCATCCTCGTTTTCCGTGACTGACCGTGGCTGATGCAGGTAGGCCTCATCATTCTCTGGTTTTATCTCATCTCTGACTGTGTTTCCCAGTAAAACTGGGGGTTTGGTGTGAATTTTTGCTGTTAGTTTGCTGCTGGAAGTGTCTTAATCCACCCTACTCTTCAAAGCTAGAATGAGAAAAGCTGATATGCACAGCCCTGCTGACTTGTTGCTATTCCCTGTTTGCTGAGTTACAGTGGTCTTGCTTTAATTAAGCTCAGTATTAAGGTCAAGCAGTTCCAAGAGTGACCTGATGATCTTGGAGGTCTCTTCTAACCTTTAGAATTCTGACAGTGGCTGTGTGGCTGCTCCAAGGCTTTTTGCAGGAGAAGGGATGCAGAAGGCCAGGCAGTGATGATGGGATGTGTCCTGTGTTTTCTGGACGTTTAGAGGAGTCAGCTGTGATGAGCTCTTGGGTCAAGCCTAAATTTTGCAGAATGCCTGTTCTAGAACTGTCACTCCCATTTTATTTTGTGGCACCAGCCACAATCACCTGGTGACTTGGGATCTGCTGCTTTTCCCCTTTGGCTTTCCTCTTCCAGACAACAAAAGAAGCACCAGTTTTGTGCTAACTTTTATGCTGGCACCAGACAGGACCATGTGTGATGCTGAGCCCCTCATTGAGAAGGTGCTGAGCTGTTTAAGCCCTCCAGGTCCTCAGCACCCTGGAGAACTGATCCCTGTGATGCTCAGCTTTCCCCAGAGTGTGGACAGCAGCTTGCAGGGAGCAGGGACAGCCTCAAACTCGAGTCAAAAGCAACTCTTTGTTGTGCTGAATCGGGGCAGTGAATGTTTGTGCATCCCAGAGAGCCTGGCCGGGCCTGTTGACTCCTAAGGACCACTCATGTGCCTTAATTGGGGCTGTGCATGAATGCTCAGCTGGGTGGGAGCAGCACAAACATCCCTGAATGTCAAGCTCTCTTCTGTGCTATTTTGTAAAGCTAATGACCAGCAGGCATTAAAAACCCCTGTTCTGCTCTTTGGAGATGCTGAGGCATCTTGTTTCATATTTGTAAAGGTGAATGCCTTCACTTTAAAAGAAAATGTCTTTATTTTGGAGACGTCGGAGCATAGAAAAATGCAGTGCTGTAAACTTAATGCCCCTGGAAGCTTTAAGATGTTTTAATATGTCCATAACTTTAGAAAAAAGGAAAATAAAAAGAGATAATGCTGCTTAGAAACATTTAAAAACAAAAAATCATGCTCAGCAGACAGCTCTTATGACAAGGCTCTGCCCAGAGTGAATTTTTATGCTTGAGTTATAAACCCTTGAAAAATGGGGATCCTAATACAAAAGCTGACACAGCTTTAACCAAAGCAGCTCTAGTAAGTGCTGCTGTAATTATTTGCTCATTAATTACAAATTTTGCAAGACATGAGAGTAACACAAATTGGAAAATAGGAATAATTATCAGTAATAATGCCACAGAAGCTGGACACACTGGAAGTATCTTCCTCTTTAAATTTAATAATAGCAAGACAGCTAGAAAACTAATAAGAAATACATAATTGAAAATTAACCTTGCAAATCTGCTGCTAATAAACCACGGTCCTCTTGTGCTGCAATAATTTTACACAGCCCTTAATTTGCATTTCAAGTGTTATTCCAGGTAATACTTTGTGCCTTCACAACAATTAATATGTCTTTGAATTCCAACAAGAATGCAACGGTTGGATTTATCCCAGCTGAGGAGTAGGGAGTGGGATAGACTGGAGTTTTTAGCAGCTCAGGGCTGGAATGGCTGGAACCCCAGTGTACAATGGTGATTTTTGTGCTGGCTGTGGTGCCTCAATGCTGTTTTGTTGCTGTTGAATTCGAGTATTGTAGTGTTTCATCCTTCCCTTGTGCACAGACATCACTTGGGCTGTTGGATCACTTGCACTTTCTCGTCCTCAGAGATGCAAGACTCGGTTACTTGGGGATGATTTAAACGTCCATGTGTTGGTAGCAGGAGGTGGGTGGTCCTTGAATACTCTGCTCCAGCTTTTCCTGTGGTGTTCGAGTGGTTTTCATGGATCTCATGGAGGCAGGGCTGGATACCCTGCCCAGCAAATCCCAGTGTAAGTCAGTGTAGCCTCTGCCTTAATGGAAAAGTGCTGCTTTGCCTCGTGCCTGAGGTTTTTCTCCATTCAAAAGCAAGTGGCACTTCCTTATGGGTGTTTTATATCTGTTGCCAATTGACAAAAGTCTTAAATCAACCAATTTGCAAGTAAGGATGAAGAGAATTGTTTACTCACAACGCAGATTGAGTCAACTGCTCTTGCTAAATATCTCCCACTCATAAAATAAACCTGATATATATCTCTGCCTGCACAGAAAAATCACAGCCAAGAAGTGTTTCATAATTTTGGAGCTCGTATCTAGTGAGCTCTGAGTGCTCAGCTGAGGGGAAAAAAAAAGATCCTAACAAAGAGAATCATCCCTGAGTGCAGGCTTGTATTATATTGCAATAGTGGCAGTGAAGGTATATGCAGGGATTCAAAGTTGTGCATGACCAAGCAGCTTAAAAAAAACCAAACACAACAAAATAAAAATAGAAAATAACCCAGAGACCCACAGTGTTTGGCATCAGAGAGGAGGAACATGGTACACAAACAACTGGGTTAAGAGTGTGCACTCCAAGCAGTGTTTCTGCACAATTCCAGACTCCATCGAGGGCTGCATGTAAAATGTTGGCTTCTTTGTGCAAACCCACAAATCCCAGGGAAAAGGCCATGTGGGGTCAGTGTTTCAGCTGTTTGTGTGCTCACTTTATGTAAGAGGTTAGCAGCAGTGTGCTTTTTGTCCAAAGCCAGCAATAGCAGGAACAGCTTGTTTCTGAAAGGGTTGTGGCTCCCCTAGTAGTGTTAGAAGGGGTCCTGAAATAAACCTCGAATGGGGATAGTCTTTGATTTGACCTTTCCTGCATTTATTTGGCTGTAAGTGTGTGCTCAGTGCAGTGTTTGACTCCTGTCACTGCCTTCAGCCTGTGCAGCTCCAGCACCACAGATATTTTCCCTACATCTCAGTATGTTTCAGGGAATTTAAAAAGCATGGCAGTGTGGGACAATAAGGCATTTTGGTTGCCCAAGGTCTTCCTGCAGAGGAGCTCGTGGGGTTGGACTGAAAAGCAAACCTGGGTGAAGTCCCAGCAGCATCACAGCTCTCCACGGCTTCAGTCCATGGAGGGAGAGGGGGGTGTTGTCTCCCTCCAAATGCCTTTGAAATCAGGTACATATCAAAAAAGAGAAAAATGAAACATTACTTTCCAATCTCTTCTGCTTTGGGGCAAACCATGGAAAGCTGTTGGAGCAGTGGAGTACAGCTTATTTTGAGGGTGGGGAGGCCCTGGCACAGGTTGGCCGGAGAAGCTGTGGCTGCTCCATCCCTGGGAGTGTCCAAGGACAGCTTGGACAGGGCTTGGAGCAGCCTGGGCTAGTGGAAGGTGTTCCTGCCCAACTTAAACCATTCCATAATTCTATGATTTGTGTGAACTCAGTGTGACCATCCCTGACTTCAACCTTGTGGATGTGAGGAAAGTTTCACTTGACCCATGAAGATTTGGAAATGGAGGGGAGGAAGGCTGGGTGTTCCTCAGCTTAACCCTGGTCAGGATTTAAGCACTGCATTTATAAATGTAAGAACTGATGAGACACAGACAAGAGATGACCCAGTGAAGGGCTCTGGAAGACCCTTTGATGCAGCTTCCATTCCACACGTCTGTAGGTCCTGTTGGAAGTTCCCTGCAAGACCAGAGCAAGTGCTGGGGGTCTGCTGGGTTTTCCATGGGAATTCAGAAGCTTGTCCAGCCTCCCAACCCAAGAGGCACTGAACACAGACACATATTGGGTAGAGAAAGCTTTGGGAGCCAAATGGATGAATATGAGTGGGGAATTCGCAGTCACAGCTCCAACCTTAAGAAAAAAGGAGATGGAAAATGCCCTCTCCTTCTGAAAACTGGGAGGCTGTGGGGGAAATGTGCCTCTTAATGATGCTCCTGAGGCAGCCCCTGTCAGTGAATCCCAATCAGTATTCTGTTCATCCCTGCTTTCTCAAGGAAAGACATGAAGGAGCAGTGTAGCCAAAAGGAAGCTATTTTTAGAAGATGGAGAGATGGTTTTTCCCCCCCCCCCCAAACCATTCTGCTGTTATTTATGTTGTGTGGTTCTTGAGTTATTTATTTCAGTGGGAGCTGATGCAAAGTGGGATGGGTTTTAATGTGTGGAGGGATGGTGAAATCCATCCTACAGCTGTCCTTGTTATTCAGGGCTGGCTTTGAAAGTCTTTCCAACCTGCAAATGGGATGGGGCTTTTTGGACACTCTCGAGGTGTTGCTGATGGCCAGGGATGTTTGTTGTCCCAGTCCCTCCAGTTTCCAACACACTGAGCATTCTCCCGTGGTTGTCGCTGCAGATATATTCTAACCTGCCACTAAACTTGCCCATATGCATTTTTAAAACACTGAAAAGGAACCGATAATTCCAAGTGCGCTCCAAGGTAAAAATAAAAAACGTTAACACTTTGCATCGATCAAAGCTAATTTATGCAAACTGGGCTCTGCTGGCAACTGCAGCAAGGTAGAAATGGTGACATCATCGAGCTTGAGCTCTGCCAACCTGGGTTAGTGGTGCAGTGACAGTGGAGTGATTTAGATATTATGATCTCACTTAATATTTCATACTTAAAACGCAGCCTAACCTGTAATTCAGGGTTATACGAAGTGCACGTTGTGGAGTTGTTCCAGAACAGATTTTGACACAAACTTTGCAGTGAAAGGGAATGTTTGAGTGACACACATATTGCATATGCTGTTACTCTGGAAGGCTGCTGAAAATCCTCTCAGAAGGGAAAACTTACTGTGGAATGTTTTCTATTTTATATATAAGTGTGCGTGTACATAGACACATGCACAGCAAAGGGTGGAAAATCTGGCTTAAGCTTTCGGCTATGAAATCATCACAGGAGAACAAAATCACTTGGATCAAGCAAATATAGCTGCAGGTTTTGAATCCCAAACCCTGCCCCTCTCACAACAACGACAACAAAACACTGGAGATGTGGTGGGTCAGGAGTTTGAACTTTTAACACCAATTTCAGAGTCCAGCCTCTCTTAGAGAAACAGTGCTGAAGTGACCTCCCATTCAGTGAGGGAGGGATTGCAGCTGGTCTGAGAAAACATCAAGTAAAGCACCAGGAAAAGAAAAGCTGCTTGTACTCGATGCTTTGGCTCCCCAGGTGTGCAGCTGATGGCAGAGGATGTGCTTCTCCCCAAGCCTCAGTGGCAGCCCCTGCACTGAGCTGGGAGCCTTCCATTGTCTTGCTCATCTCACTCTTATTTATTTTACTGTTAATTGTAAGAGAATTGGAAGAACAATGGGAATAACCAAGTTTTCCTAGTTTAGCTTGTCTGAGTGTGTTGGTGAGGAACAATATCCAAGATAATTGGTTCTAGGCTATAGGACAGGCTCACAAAGGGCTTCCACTCAAAACCATAGGCATCATACTTATAAATATTTTGGATAAAACACTGTGGATGTAGGAGGGATAGCCTTGGCCACTGCAGTAGGAATTTGGGACAGATGAACCATGAAATCCTTTTCCTATTTGTGTGGGTTTAGTCAGCCCTGAGGCCCTCTAAAGGATAGGAAGGAATGGTTTGGGGCAAGTTTTTCTCCAGGACTATGGTGATGTTGGCACTTGCAGTTTAGTTAAGTCTAAGATCTGCAATAATTCATTCTTGAAGACCTTAAGGATCAGTATTGCAGCTCTTTTTTGGAAAGAACAAGGACAATGAGTATCCCAGAAAGAACATGGTCAAGCCTTGAGCCTGTAAACTACCTCGTTGTCTGGGAAAATGGCCTTTTTCCTCCTCCAAGACTGTCATGTTCGTGTCCTGAAGCCAGGTCTGGTTGCTCATTGTTGGCCACCAGCAACCTGTGTTTGAAAGCACATTTTGGGGGTTACTCAGCGTGTCTGAGGCTGAGACATTTCATACTTAGGGAGGGTGGGTTTCATTGGTAAAGTTGTTTGCACCCACATTTGAGAACGTTTTGCGTTGACATTTTCTAAACCAGGGGAATGACCTTGTCACTGCTATAAACACTTATCAAAACCAATCAATATTAGTTCAAATGCTTAAAATACAGTGACATAAGAATTATTCAACAATGTATGATTCTTTAAGTTGAATTAGGATGAGGGGAGTGCCAACTCAGAATTCTAGGATTTTTGATTTACTTAAATGCTACTTTAGGAGTTTTTTCAGTCCCCAGTGAATTTCTCCTGTTTCTTACAGCTAATAGGAAATTTTATGGGTTTTCGATCAGAATTAGTTTAAGCCACTAGAAAACATCCTTTGTTCCTATATTGATAGAAACCCAGTATTCTCCTTTCTTCCTGTTTGGCCTCCTCTGCCCTGGATGCAACGGGAGTAAACACAGTGGAAGGATTTGTATTACCAGCAAAGAAGAACAATTGCAGCAGTGTTTAAATTCACAAGGTTTGAGGATTGTAATTGGAGTTTATTTGAGGGTGGGGGGAGGAAATGTTTATGCCACTTCATTTTTAGAGGTTCTCTATTTGTGTTCCCCGTGCTTATCACACAGGGACAAACGTTTTCCCATCTAACGGAAATAATTCTGATTCTATTCCAAAAAAAACAGCCTGGAAGCCATGAGATCCCAGGAATAGGTTTCTCCCTCTAGTGGCAGCAGAAAGGGAGATACAGAGCTCTTGGACCAGGTAGACTCATTCTTTTTTAATTTTTTTTTTTTTTTTTTGGAGAAAATCAAATGAGGTAAAAGCTGCTGGTTTTTTACAGCTTCAAAGAAATATTCACATGGCACAAAATATCTGCAGCTGCCTCATGGTTCTCCTTAGTCATGGAAATACTTGTAAAACCAGATACTGAAACAAGGGTGTTTAATTTTTTAAAAGGCCTCCAGGCTCAAAGTACAACAGAGACAAGTTGATAAACAAAAATTATGATGACTTCGGTGTCCTGCTCTGTCCTGTTGGCAGAACCATGGAGCAGACACTGCATTTAGGAATAACTCCTGGAACTAGCTCAGCACCCCTCCCTGCAAATAATGCCTGACATTGGGTAACCTGTGGAGGGATGGGGATATTCAGAGAATTGTCTTTGTGGGCATTTGAATCCTGTGTGAGGCCACTGTGTTCCTCTGACATATAAAATGCAACCCCACACGTGTTCTCAATGACTAAACCACCCTGGAAGTGTCCAAGGCCAGGTTGGACAGGGCTTGGAGCAATCTGGTCTAGTGGAGGGTGTCCCTGCCCGTGGCAAGGGGTGGAACTGGGTGATCTTTAAGGTCCCTTCCAACCCAAACCATTCTGATCCTATGAAATCTCTCTCTTCTCTTTATGCTTCCTGTCTTCTCATTTTGCTTTAACTACCCAAGAAAAGCATAAAACCACTGATACTTGTTTCTGGTGGGCAGGAAGGTTGCTCTGTGGAGGGAGCCTGGCTGAAACACTTGGTTCCTGGTTGGCTTCTGAACCTCTGTTGTTGATAGTTTAGTCCTCATGACTCAGTCACTGCTTCTTGTGAGCCTATTTCAGTGTGAAGTCTTACTTCAGTAGAAGAGATTACATGAAGGAGATGTTGAAATAGCACCTTAAATTCAGGGAGAATGTGTCCTTCAAGCTCTAATGCTGAAAATACTGTTCAGCAAAGGATGTTCAGCTACTATAAACAGAAAATCCAGTAAGACACCCCCAACCCCAGTATGGCTGGGGTGCAGCTCAGGTTTCCTTTGACGTGTGGTGATAACACAAGTCCATGTGTTTAAGTTTCTCTGTGTCCTTGGGCAGCTCCAGCTGGGCTCTGGGAGTGAAGAGCTCTGCCTTGGGAAGGCCCAAGGAGTAAAATATGGCCAGAGTCTGTAGGGCACCTTATTCCATGCATGGAGTCCCCTGGGACACAGGAAACATCCCCTGACCTGTGAGGTCATGTGCGTTAGTCAGTGAATTGGAAAGTCTTCAGCCAGGGAGGAACTTGGTGACTTCTGAGTGAAATGCAAACTCTGTTCCTTCCAGCTGGGGTTGAGAATTATCAAGGCAGCCTAATTCCAGCTTCTTTCTGCAAAACCTACCAATATTTCCTGTGCCCTTTCTGCAGGCTGTTGCTCTGGGACCCGTTTTGTGTTAGGACTTGGAGGAGAGGACTTACCACGGGAAGTCTGGATTCTGGCAGGGCTGTGTGTGCCAGATGGATGGTGGTGGCTGTCTGAGCTCACTGAGGTTGGGAGACCTCCTGGCAAAAGGTTGTATTTTCCTGTCAGCTGGTCCTCAGGACCAGCTCAGCTCATTCCAGAGTTTGCCCAGGAGCCACCACTGTGCTGGAAGGTTCCTAAGGGCACTGATCACCAGCAGTACAGAAAACTCATTGGGACTTATTTCTTCCATGTCATCTTCTACGAGATGGCTTAAATATTAGTTACTTTCCAAATCATAAATCAATATTTTAGGCTTTTAACACTGTCTCTCCTTTGGATAACACCTTGCCCTCACTGTGGCAGATACCTGGGCTGCTTTTCCAGCCTCTTCTTTCTCTACCGTACCTGAAAACAGTTCTAATTTTATTTTTACCTCCCTGTAAAGTTTCTTTTCATTCAGTGCCTTTGCTTTTCTTATCGCTTTTTTTGCTCTCAACTTCATTATGCAATTGTTCCAACCCTGCTCTGTACTTGATGTTTTATAACTCGTGGCTGCCTTTTCTTCCACTGTTGATTATTTTACATTATGATGTTCCTTCACACTGGCTTTATGGAAAAAAAAAATAGCAAAACCAACTTGAACATTCCCTGTGCAATTACTGGGAGGTGGCCCACGTAACCCTCGGGCATACATTCATTTATCTTTGAACACTTGCTATTTCCTCTGGGTCCTTTCTCTCCCCAGCTTTATCATGCCGAATGTCACCCTGCACTTGGGCTCCCAACTTTCCTAAAATCTAATCTACTTGTTTACTAACTTCTGGTTGAACATTAATCCCAGTGAAGTCCTTCAAGGCTGCAGCCCTGAGTCTCCCCCACACTCACATCCCACCTTAATTGCTGCTGGAGGAATTACTGCTTACAGAAACCCATCCTCTTCCCAGCCATACTTCAGATGATGGAAATAACATCTGCAGTTGGAACCCCCTGCACGTTAAAGAAATGGTTTTTCCCGACATCCACAAGTGTTGCTCACATCTTCTCCCCCTCTCCGAATTTTAGCCTTTCCCTCTGATGTGGTCTCAGCCTGAACCTTTAAGCTTCTGCCTAATTTTAAGCAACTGGGATGTGGGTCTCAACACAAGTACTGCAGTTCTGGCACTTCCATAAACTCCCTTAAAAAAGAACCAACTTGGGTTGATAAGCACAAACTCTTCATGTTAATAAATATGTTAATCAACAAAAGTCTTGTAACAGACTCCAGATGTGCTCTGGACTTTTCTAGACTTGCAAAACTATCTTTTGGAAACTCTCAGTGGCCACTTCCAGTAAAAGTATTTCTTTATACCCACGTAAAATCAATTCCCAATGCATATAAAATGCTTTCAGCATTGAAACTTTATAAATGTGTTTGTCTTGTTCTTCCAAATCTTTGTCTAATACTGAAGTTATATGTAATTAACACATTTAATATTGACTGTATTGACCTCATCAATGTCACGGCTTATTAAGTTTTTTATCACTTAATGCTTCCTTTTCCTCTCTGTTGAATGATCACATACATTTGTTTATCATAAATTCTGAGTACATATATTTTGGAAAATAAAACTGAAATGCCAAGTGCTGTTGAAAAAAACATTTTCAAGAGCAGTAAAAAGATGTGTCTGGGTGTAGTTAAATTTTTATAAAGTGCAACATGAAAACATGTCTTTACCTTCATTGCTTTTTCTATCTCCCACCTACTGCTTTTTCCCTCTGAAAGGCAGCAGACAAAAATAAGAAGGAATATTTCTTGTGTTAAATGAAAACAACTTAAACATCTTTTTATTTATTTGGCATTTAATCTCAGGTGAAAACTTGCATTCAGAACACGTGCTTTCCATTCAAATTGGAAAAGTATCCTCACAAATAAGTATTTGTTTGGAGGGGGAGCAATGTAAATGTTGCATTTCACAATAAATATTTCTGTAGTGAATTTGAATTGATTCACCTGTCACTTTTTTTTTTTTCTCAGTAAAATGCAAAATCAGATCAGCTCAGATCTTGCTTATTTACACGGTCAGCTTTCATTTATCATTAGTTCTATTGAGTACTAAGGCTTTTAGTGCAGGAGATACCTCTTCCACTTAATGGATAATCATTTAGTGGAATATAATTTAAAAGGATTTATCTGGTATCTCTGCCATGCTCTAACCTCACCCCAGCATGATGAACTAGCTCCAGGAAAAGGATTAGCACTTTCTGGGGGCTTTTGCCTGGGTATTTGTTCAGTCATTAGTTCAACATCCAGCTTGGCCAAAGCACTTTGTGATCCACAATCAGGGACTTGACACAGCATAAGTATTTCTGGGTTTGGCTGCACTTTCCATCAGACCACTTTGTGTCAGGTAATTCAATAGGATTTCAATCCAAACCATGGCCTCTTTTTAATTAGAAGATAAGAGCAAGCAATTGAAGGCAGACCTGGAGAGGCAGCGTGTGAGACGAGGGGCTGGGAGCTGCACCTGGGGAAGAGACAAAAGAGTGAAGGAAAACAAGGTCTTGAGCAAGTTATGGGAAGAGACTGGACAGATCAGGAGAAGAATTTTATTTTGAAATACAGTGAAGGGCCAAGAGGGGAAGAGGTTATTTTTCTCAGGAGAAAAATCTTTTGCTTTTCTGGGCACCGGAGCTGTATCTCAGAGAAGAACTCTTAATTAGGACTGCAAGCTTGCTGTAGCTTCTTTTTACGCTCACAGAATCTCAAATGATGAAGAAATCTGACTTCAACCTGCTTTCCTTCTTCCCAGTGCCCTCCCAGTGCAGTCCTACAAGGTGTCAACAGTGGCACAGCAATGTTAGAATCCATCTCCAATGCCTTTCCAGCACAAGGTGGATGGTGTGACAGGCTGAGTTTGCATCAAAGGGGTGAAGGTTCCCCCAGAAAATTCTGCAGGAGGAACAGAGAGGGCTGTTGTGCAGGTCCAAGTATGTATTTTTTTTCAAGGAGTGTCTGAGGATATTTTCAGAGATGTTTGGACTGAAGTTCTGGGACAGTGACAGCTGCTCATTGAGCTGAAAGCTGGACCTGGACTCCCCAAACAAAAGTTTAAGGGCAAAACCTTTGAATTAATACATCTTTAATAACTGAACAAGTGCAAGATTCTGCAGCAGCATGGCTTGACTCTGCTTTTTGTGCTAAATATGGAAAACCCAGGCTTCCTATGGCTTTAATTGGGTTTTGCTTCAGCCAGCCTGTGTCCACCTGGGTTTCTGAGCTGTCACTGCTGGGGAGGAGGATCTTCTCCCCAGCTCCTGCTGAAGCTCAGTGTCAGCAGGGCATGGCCAGGGTTGGAATTGAAGGTGACAAGAGGGCTTTGATTTTTTTTTTTTTTTTTTTTAACCTGCTATTTTCCTCTAATTTTTCTATTCCTCTCGTTGCTAAAAGAGAACTCCTAAACCCCAAAATAACAAAACCCACCCACAACACCCCCTCCAAAACTACACGTGGCAATTTTTGTGATCTCTTATGTTTGGAAGGGATTAAGAAAGACTGTTTTAATCTTTCCTGTAGCATAGAAAGTGCTGCAGAGCCAGCCAGCAATCCAGAGTCTGTTATGTTTTCCCTGATGCCTGGAATTGAAATGCTGTTTGATTTTTATTTTATTTTTTTGGCAACTTTTCTTCTTGAGGAAAGAACTTGAGTGCAATCAATTAAAGAAAGGATCTGATTTGCTTTGTAATTGTTTTTCTGTCTGTATGAATGATGTAAGGGCATATTGGAAGAATTTACTTCACTACTCTGTCTTTTCCAAAATAACAGGTTTACTGGTTGATTTATGGGTTGTTTGTTTTGTTTTTGTTGTTCTGTCTGTAGGTGAGAAAAAGGTTAATTTGCTTGAGAAATCATGTCTATGCCAGAGAAGGTCAACTTGTTCCATCATCATGTTCTGCCATTGGAGGCTGACCTGGACCTAAACACGAGGTTTAAGGGAAGGATTAGACATCCTGTTTTTCTGCATGCTTTTCCCACCATTTGTTTCCTCCTGATTTTTGGTAGTTTCTCAGAAAAGGCAGGAGAATGTGACCCCCAGGAATGGTTTCTGCTCCCTCTAAAGTCGTATTTTTGACACGAAACCTCCCAGCACTGTGGTGGCTGTGTCAACTGTGACTGACCAAAAGTCAAAATACCAAGAAGTCTGTTTGTGAGTTGTGTTTAAAGCAGTGAAGGGCTGTGCAAGAATAATAATTGGGGAAGACGGGGAATATTAAATGAGTCCAAGAGCTGTCCATGAGCATAAGAAGAGAGTGGCCATGTGGCTCCTGGGGATGTCCAGCTCCTCTTCCTTGGCTCCTTCACTGCACTATTCCTATGACTCACAGGATGTTCATCACAAATGCTGAAGGACCAAGGCATTGTTGGAGCTTAAACCTTTTGCAGTGCCATAAAAGTACTACAAAATTAAGGATTTTCATATTTTATTGGGTTTTTTTTTTTCTAGTAGAAGAAGTTTAATAATATACCAGACCTGGGTGTCTGATTCCCACTTTGTGCTTTTGTGGATGTGACATTGGTGTCCAGGTACCAAGAGATGCTGCAGGAGGGACTAGAAAGAAAATAAGCATATTTTTCCCCCTTCCTTTTACTGGAGAAGTATGTAAAATGTGGTTGGAGTTTGTCAGGATGGAAACAAATGTCTTACTTTGCATGCAAGACTTCAGGATC